GAGAGCGTTGACAGAGAGGAGAAGGTAGAAATGACTCAGCCTGGAACTGAAAATATGGATGGAGGACAACAGAGCTGCTTCATGGAAGAACAACATCAGATTAGCCTGTTAGCCTTTGCGCTAGCGCTGATGCTATATTGTCTTATATGCATTAGCTCAGCGCTAGCGCGACAAACAAGCTAAACTGAGTTTTTTTTTTGTTTCCGCTCTCGGAGGAGTAAGACACTTTTTCCTTCTCTCCTGCCCTTCCTTCTCTTCCCTGCTTTGCTGCTGGAGCCTTCTCTACATTTTTCATTCGAAACCAGAAATTATGGATATTTTTATTTTTATCGATTTGGTTAGCTGGTCTCAATAAAACTTTTGGAACAAAGTTTATTTTTCTTCTTTCACGGGAGGACATGTCAAAGGTGGGACCTCTGTTCTTCTGTGTTCTGGATATATATCTGGACTCTGATCACTGGATTCTACAGATTGGCTTGGTGGTCTCCTGGTGGTCTACAAAACAATGTTGGTGGCTTTTCATCTCCTGGCTGACTGAACAACTGGATGGGTGGCTGTATTCTATCAGCACTTGGTAATTTTGCCTTGAGCGAGCTGGACTCAGTCTTCAAGCGGTTCTATTGAGGGTCGTGGGCCGACTGTGGTCCCTGGACTTTGCTGGCCAGATGGAATTGAACTTGGAGAATCTGATAGATCGGCTCAGCAGAATTTGTCCACATTATTTGTCTGATTGGATTCGCCACAATGAGATGTACCAGCAGATCATTAAAGCAGATGGAAAATTGTTATCGTCTGCCTGTCCTCTCTGTTCCCAAAACAACTGATTACAGAATCTGGATCTCCCCGACAACGGCCTTGATCTGTTGACTAAATTCTTCCTGGTTGGATTACGTCGACAAAGCTCTGCCCCACACCTCCTCCCTCCTCTCTCACCCGTCTGATCTGGCTCCTGAGCAGGCTGAGGGTCTCACAGAATGAACAGTTTCCGTTAATATTTCTGAACTATGGCTGCTCTGGTTCTGGGGACTGGATTCTTCAGGCCCCCCTAAACTCACTTACTCCTCTGGTTAATAATCTTGCTCTATGCAGAGGTTTTTTCTTAAACACCATAGAGTGTCACAGTGTTGATATAATATGATGTTTTTGCCTTTTTCCTCTTTTTCCCTTGTGTGGTTTTTAGTTTTTCTGTTGTTCTGTTTTTAAGGTAGCGCAACTGTGTTTGCTGCATGACCTGCCTTAACTGGCCCCTCCCCACTTCCCTGAATGTACAGCACCTTGTGAATTTATTTCTGTGAAAGGCGCTATATAAATAAAACTTTACTTACTTACTATCCACGTCATCATTTACCCAGAATGCTTTGTGTGTAAAGCAAATGGCTCCGTCCATGTTAAAATATATTTTTAAACTTTTAGTTAAAAAATGTACAAAACTAAACATCCTACAGTATTTTTACAGTCTTTATTTTACAGTTAAAATATGTGTTTATCAAATAAAGTCTAATGTTACAACTAATCATGGATCCCTTTAAGGTTTATTGCCAAGAAGAATCGTTACAACAAATAAATAATCTATCAAACACTAATTTACTTACATTCTGTGCTATTTATATGTTTTACATCTAAATTAAAGTCTAAATTAAGCATCTTTCTTCACTGTTATCACAGAAACCAACAAAAAGTACAAGCAGCAGTTCTCTGAATGATGCTGCTTTTTACAGTTGYTCAGAAGCTGAAATGAAGAGCCGTCGCTCCTGCTCGCTGCAGCACCAAACATGTGCCCACCGCCCCCCAGGACGACGCTGTCCTCAGCGTCTCTTTGTTCCTGTTGGACATGAACCTGTTCCACAGGGTTCTCTGCTGCCCTGGCAGTGAGTTATCTCAGGTTATCCAAGCAGAAACAAAGCTTTTACTTCCCGTCACTGACCCGCCTGCAGCCTCACCTGGGTACGGCACGCGGCCCTTCGTCGCCAGCTCCGTCAGCAGGATGCCGAATGACCAGACGTCTGACTTGATGGTGAACCTGCCGTACAGCGCAGCCTCCGGAGCGGTCCACTTGATGGGGAACTTTGCACCTGAAGGGAAGCAAAGCRAGCACATCAGTGAACGGACACTCGATGATTCCCACCTGAAAGGTGCTGCAAACTAAACAACAACACTGTCAGGGTTTGTTTTTAAACCAGGTGGTTTCAGGAGAAACATCTCAGGCAGTTCTCTCTCCCTGGTTTAAAGATCTTAGAAGCAGGAAGTGAATATTCAGCCTGGTCTCACAGTGAGGAGCTTTAATGACTCGTCACGCTCAGGCAGACCCACCTTGTCGAGCCGTGTACTCGTTGTCCTCGATCAGCCGGGCCAGGCCGAAGTCGGCGATCTTGCAGACCAGGTTGTCCCCCACCAGGATGTTGGCGGAACGCAGGTCTCTGTGGATGTAGTTCATCCTCTCGATGTAGGCCATGCCTGCTGCCACCTGGAGAGGAGAGCAAGGCCTGCTGGGTCAGATCTGCTGTGGAAACAAGCTGAACCTGCAGAACTCTGAGCTGAAGCTGCAGGGAGCAGTACAATGTGTCACAGTAACACAGTGATATTTCTGACGCTAACGTTAGCTTGTTTGTTTCCAGATATCATAAACTTTACCTGGTGCTGCGTGGATATCTTTATAYTCTGTTTGGGTCATAGTTTACAGTGTTTTCTGAACTATTACATCAAACTCTCAGACTCTAGCTCCAACATGTAAGTCTGGTTAGACAAGCTTTCTTTTGTTGACATCTTGTAATTAAATTGTAAATAAAAAGTTTCTGCGCAGCTATATAGTCGAAAACCCCTCTAATCAAACTAGAATGAACCGGTCTGGAAGCTGGAGGGGGGGCGGGGTGTGAAGCGACTCGTTTGGATTTAAAGAAACAGCCTCAAAATGAGTTGATCTGAGACACGTCGTAAAAGGGGCGGGGCTTAAGGAAGGATTTAAAAGCATCGTGTCGACTTGTTCCTGTGAACTCATGTCTAACAGAGTTTATTCTGCCTCTGCCTGCTCTCTTCTGCTCGTTGGTTTGGATGGTCGACTCCAGGAAGTTAAACTCATCCACCTTCAGCACCTTCACTCCTCATCTCCACTACAGACCTCCACCTGTCCAGGCCACGGGCAGAGCAAGGGGGTGGCCAGGACCACCAGACAAATCTTTGGCCACCCTGCTGTACACACCCCTTCCACAKAGAAACAACCTTCAGKGGTGTAATAATCCTCCTGAACAGTTGGTGGCAGTGTTTAACAGTTTGAAACATCACCAAGCTCTATGACTGAAGAAGAGTAAAGACAAGGAAGTGATGTTTTCTTTGGCTGTGTCCAAAACAACAGGACGGGTCCTCTGAAGGTCGAATTCATCGTCCTCATACGTCACAGCGCCGCGACGAAGGACGTCTAAAAC